CATCACATGAGATTTCCCAGATAGATATTTCAAGCAAGATACTTTAGGTGTGTCCTGTGTTTTTTGTGTTCGGTCTGTCAACAATAAAGTTCTTTGGATATTTTGCCAGCGTGCATTTTTTTTCCTTTGTGTTATTGCAAGATTCTGAATGCCAAACATCAAAATTATTTTTTTAACTACTTTATTTTTGAAAAAGTATTACATATACATTTCTCCATTTACACTCCATAATAGCGTCAAAAATATATACAAATGAAATATACACATATAGATCTACCTAGTAATACAAATGTCCAGACATTTGCTGAATGCCTGGTATCCTCTATGCTAATTTAGCCATTATGTAGTGTTATGTGACATCATGTCCCAGCATGCACTGCAGATTAGCACTCGGGCTCCCTTGGTATTACACATTTAAAGTACATCTCAAGTTATACTTTGCTTACATTTTGAATAGCATGGATATCTGCAGCTGCATTTGTATACCTGGGAGCATGCTGGCATTTGCATGGAGATGCCGACTTTTTGATTATCCTGCCAGCTCTCTGGGTGCCGGGTTCAGATTTTTGGCTCTCTGGTGATTGTCAAGAGTCAGTCAATGCTGAAAACAGGATTCTGTTGTCTCCTTTCTTTAATGGGGCCTGCTGTGGGTGGAAGAAGGCCAGAAGAGTGGGTACCCCCTGAAAACAGACCTCCTTCTTAGTACAAGTTCCTGTTGGGGAGTTAGGGTGGACTGCCCTTTGTCCTTGTCATCTGACATGACCAGAGACCTAAAGAAGGAGAAGCTGCCTCTATACCTGGATGGGCGCCACACTGAGAATGTGATGAGTGAGGACTGTGAGTACACGTAGGTTGGGGGAGCAACTCAGTCCCAAATCTCCCCTCTACCCCTAAAAGTCCTAAAAAAGTTCCTTAGCCACCCTACCTTCTTCAGAGCCCTTCAGTCCCACCAAAGTGTCCCCCACCACAGCCTCCCACCTTCCCTCTTAATTCACACTGAAATGGATGCCAAGGCAACCCTCCTTGACTGAGACCACCAACACAAAAGCATTTTCTTTGCTCTCACTTACACCAACGCAGCATTTTTTCCTCCCATTAATCGCGATGCAACAGAATGTTTTTCCTCCCACTAAAACTGATGCAGCAGCATTTTTTCCACCCACCAATACCAAGGCAGCAGCAATTTTTTTCAGCCACTAATACCGATGCAGCAGCATTTTTTCCTCCCACCAATACCAAGGCAGGAGCAATTTTATTACCCCTAAAAGCCCTAAAAAGTTCCTTAGCCACCCTACCTTCTTCAGAGCCCTTCAGTCCACCAAAGTGCCCCCCCACCAGAGCCTCCCACCTTCCATCTTAATTCCCACTGAAATGGATGCCAAGGCAACCCTCCTTGGACTGAGACCACCAACAGAGCAGCATTTACTTTGCTCCCACTTACACCAACGCAGCATTATTTCCTCCCATTAATCGTGATGCAGCTGAATTGTTTTCCCCCCACTAAAACTGATGGTGCAGCATTCTTTCCTCCTTCCAACACCAGGGCAGTAGCAATTTTGTTTACTACTAACACCAACACAGCAGCATTTTTTCCTTCCGTGGACACAGCAACCACATTTTTTCTTCCATTGACATCATCACAGCGGCAAGTTTTCTTCCAAATGACACCAACACAGCAGCATTATTTCCTTCCACCTACACTAAGACAGTGCCATTGTTTTCTTCCACTGACACTGATGTCAGCTTTTTTTCCTTCCAGTCCCACCATGTAGGGACACTGTTTGTTGGGGCATTTCTTCCTTTGCCACGGCTGTACTTCATATTTTGCACCTCTATTAATCTCTTCAATTTCCCTCGACCGTTGCATCCTTTCGGCACATGCCACAACAATAAATAAGTTTCAGCCTACTAGTCTGCATCCTATTCTGCCTCTGTTCCACCCCATTTTTAGACCCACCAATTTTCAAAGAGGGAACCAACAGAAAGAAAAGACATTTGATGGAAGACTAGATCTTCTGCTGCATTTCATTATGGTCTGGGTCCCCATTGGAGAGTGACCCTCACTTCCTATCCTGGTGAGAACATGTTGGTAGGAATGGGAAATGATGGGAAATCTCTCCAATGGGTAGACAGACAACAGCAGAAGCTGACAGCGTTATGTTGCACTATAATTTGTGTTGCGTTACACCACCCTGTTCATTTCAAATGGGCTGCCAATGCCAACAGACTTAGGATCACATCTGTACCATTTTTATTCCCAGCCCAACATGACGTCAAGATGGTTTACCTCTGTGTATTATGGTGCGCTAAAAACACAGGTCTGTTGTAGTGCATTGGGCATGCGAGTTGAGGTGCCATTCAAAATGAAGTAATGTGTGGAGTCAATAAAAAAAACCTACGCTCTCCCTCAGAGGTCTGGACAGTTGGGACAGTTCAGCGATACAGTTCACATCCTGCAGGCCGAGGTTTGAAAGCAAAATAAACCCTGGTTCACACTGATGAGATTTCTGGTGTGTTCCAGAACGCATGACAAGTGAAATAACATGTGTTTCTATGAGTCAGTTCACATACATGCAGTGCAATTCTGATGCGATTTTAAAAAGGGTCCTGTGTAGTGCAATGCAGTGCGATATGTAACTACAAAGACTTGAATGGAGATCACTTATCTGTCCTATAATAGGACTGCAGTACATTTCTGCAAGTCTTTTCTTTGTTCCATATCTCCCATCCCTGGTCCATGTCAGGAGAGAGACAAAAGAGAGAGACTGACTGAGAACGTTGTCAAATCGCATCAGGATCGCACTTGAATCGCTGAACAACTACCCCTAGAAATAGCACTGCATCCGGCAGGAAAGTCGCACTGCATCTATGTGAAAATAGCCTAAAAGGATACGTTCAGCTTTTAATAAAAAATAATAAATGCACATTTTTTTGCAAGTAAAAAAAATGTGCGTTTATTATTTTTGTCTGGGATGTATGGTCAAGCAGATACACTGATAGGAAGAATCAATGAACTACCACAGGGTTCCACCAGTTCACTGAGGACTTCAAGCTGACAGCCGCTAAGGCTGCTGGGACTTGTAGTCTCTCATTGACAGAATGCTGTGAATGAGTGAAGCGGCAAGGCCACGTTTTTTTAAAAAAAAAAATTACAGCTAGTGGGGGGGGGGGGGGATTCCCTGCTAGCTGTCAAAGCAGGGACCGGGGGGCCGGTCAGATGGTAACATGTTACATGTTGCACCCTGAATATGGTTGTAACATGTTATGAAGGGTGAACTTATTCTTTAAGCTGGCTACACATTTTCTTTCTTTCTTTCTTTAGATTTACTTTCAACTGTGTAGTGCAAGAGCCTGCCTGACTGCCAGGGCTGCTGTTAGAAGCCACGGGGCCCAATATAGCCAACCTGACAGGGCCCCCTTAAAAAAAACAAAAAAAAAAAAACACAGTTTACTATGCTTCAGCTATGAATGAACACAGTGAGTGAGCAGTGCTGATCACTCAATTGTGTTCATTCAGGAAAGGAAGGAGCTGGTTAATCTGACATATTTGTCAGACCTTTCCCCCACTCTCCATCCTGAAGGACCCTTTTCTGTGCTTGCAACTGCCGGTGATAAGGAGAGGAGGGAAGCTGGCATTGTGGGGGCCCAGGCAGCTGGGTGAATCAGATGTGTACAGGGAGGGTGATCGGCATGGTGGGGGGGGCAATTACTGGAACCGATCCCCTGTACGGCTCCCTCTGCAGCAGCTGAAAACCAGCGGGAGGCAGAGGAGAAGAATTCAGATTTCAGATGCTGCAGAGAGCCATACAGGGGATCGGTTCCAGTAATTGCTCCCCCACCATGCTGATCACCCTCTCTGCCCACATCCGATTCACCCAGCTGCCTGGGCCCCCCTGCTGGCCTGGGCCCCATACAGAAGGACTGGTGGTACCCCCTTATCCACGGCCCTGCTGACTGCATGCAATTTGAAAGTATTTAGGTTTGACCTCATATTATATGGTTCTGGAAAATCCAAAAGTAATTGTAAATAAAAATGATATAATGTGTAGCCAGCTTAGGGCAGGTTCCCACCACAATTTCTACATGGATGCGTTTCTGCATACACATTTTTGATGAATTTCAATGCAAGTTGTTCCTTTTTTTATGTATTCCAGTGAATTATTGTAATCCTTTTTTTTCTTCATCTCAACTGAGGACATATGCATTCCAGTGGGTGTTTTTTATACATTCTTCCGCATTCCAAATATTTTCCATACAGAAAAATGCAACACTTTCTACTTTTGTTGACTGCACTGGAGTGAACTAGGGCCATTGGAATTCATGTTAAACAGTGTCCAAGCATTTTTTGAGGCAGCATAAAAATGCACTGGACTGTATCCGATATGAACCAGCCCTTAAAGCGGAAGTTTATATTCCTTACATTTTGCCTCTGATTCCACCCTCTACCCTCATTAACCAAATTAAAGAGAAAAAAAACAATTTTCATTACATACCTTATATTAGAACCAGTGGCATCACCACTGGGTCTCTGTGCTTCTCTGGGTAATGCAGGCAGATCATGGCTGGTAGGAGGGGCTGGCAGGGTGCTACACACAAATAAATATCACAGCATCCTGCCACAGCCGTGATGTAAGTAGAGGGAGGATTTCTGCAAAATGCCTTGATGGGTGGGTGTCAGTCTGAAGGAGTGGGTGTTCCTAGGCAGGCTGTATTTCCATGCAGACCACTCTAGGTAACACCCACCTGTGATGCTGAGCCTCCATGATTAAAAGAAAGGCAATCCAGTAAATGAACGAGGAGGGCCAGGCAAACAGGTTTGGGAGGAAGGAGCTAGATGATGCTGGACGTCCTCCAGCCAGGAAATGAGGCGGGCTCTATCTGACTTCCTGCAACTTCTAATGCAGTCTGTAAGAAGCTCACAGTGTGCAGTGAAATGTGAGTAAGCAATTTCAGTCCAGCAGAGGAGCCGCTACAACCGGAGGCAAGGCTGGAGTTCGGCTTTAGTAGAAGCGTCCTTGTGGCTCGAGGAGGATGTATTTTTTGAGTGTAGCCGGCAGCGATAGTTGCGGGACGACCCGATGGCATCTCTTCCGTAAAAACATGCGAATCGCACACCTGGCTAGGTGCATGAGAGACCGCGGGGTGTTACTGCAGGCCGCGAAAAGGGCGTCATAGAAGCAGCGATGTATCTGCAATAAATTCATGTCACAGCTGTAATATGTGTGATCCGACACGCGTGTCATAGACATACAGGGGGGGGGCTACTAAAGGCAAACACACTGCGCACTTTGCAAAGTGCAGTTGCTCCAGAGCTTTGTAAATGAGGTAAAGTTTCACTTTGCAAAGAATAACCAATCACATGCAGGGAAAATTAAAAAAAACTGCATTTTGATTGGATGATGGAGGTCAGCAAAGCTTTTGGTCTGGAGCAACTGTACTTGCAGAGTGCACAGTCTATTGGCCTTTAGTAAATCAACCCCCATAGTGTGATCATTGCCATGTGTGAAGAGCAAACACTCCTAATAGACCATCATTGCCTGGGGAATAGTCTGATGGCCTGGAGGAGTATCTTGTGTATGTCGCACAGGTGTTGTGTGTATGTGAGAGACCCACACAGCTCCAGGTTCACATATGCCAAAACAGTGATACCAATGATGGGGCACAATTCCTCCCACTGATACCAATGATGGGGCACAATTCCTCCCACTGATACCAATGATGGGGCACTATTCCTCCCACTGACACCAATGATGGGGCACTATTCCTCCCACTGATAACAATGATGGGGCGCTATTCCTCCCACTGACACCAATGATGGGGCGCTATTCCTCCCACTGATACTAATGATGGGACACTATTCCTCCCACTGATACCAATGATGGGGCACTATTCCTCCCACTGATACCAATGATGGGACACTATTCCCCCCACTGATACCAATGATGGGGCACTATTCCTCCCACTGATACCTAATGATGGGGCACTATTCCTCCCACTAATACCAATGATGGGGCACTATTCCCCCACTGATACCAATGATGGGGCACTATCCCTCCCACTAATACCAATGATGGGGCACTATTCCTCCCACTGATACCAATGATGGGACACTATTCTCCCACTGATACCAATGATGAGGCACTATTCCTCCCCACTGATACCAATGATGAGGCACTATTCCTCCCACTGACACCAATGATGGGGCACTATTCCTCCCACTGATACCAATGATGAGGCACTATTCCTCCCACTGATACCAATGATGAGGCACTATTCCTGCCACTGACACCAAAGATAGGGCACTATTCCTCCCACTGATACCAATGATGGGGCACTATTCCTCCCACTGACACCAATGATAGGACACTATTCCTCCCACTGATACCAATGATGGGGCACTATTCCTCCCACTGATACCAATGATGGGGCACTACTCATCCCACTGATACCAATGATGGGGGCACTATTCCTCCCACTGACACCAATGATGGGGCACTATTCCTCCCACTGACACCAATGATGGGGCACTACTCATCCCACTATTCCAATTGATGGGCACTATTCCGCTGACTAATACCAATGATGGGGCACTATTCCTCCCACTAATACCAATGATGGGGCACTATTCCTCCCACTGATACCAATGATGGGGCACTATTCCTCCACTGATACCAATGATGGGGCACTATTCCTCCCACTGATACCAATGATGGGGCACTATTCCTCCCACTAATACCAATGATGGGCACACTATTCCTCCCACTGATACCAATGATGGGACACTATTCCTCCCACTGATACAAATGATGAGGCACTATTCCTCCCACTGATACCAATGATGAGGCCTATTCCTCCCACTGACACCAAATGAGGGCACTATTCCTCCCACTGATACCAAAGATAGGGCACTATTCCTCCCACTGATACCAATGATGGGGCACTATTCCCACTGACACCACTGATAGGACACATTCCTCCCACTGATACCAATGATGAGGCACTATTCCTCCCACTGATACCAATGATGGTGCACTATTCCTTCCACTGATACCAATGATGGGACACTATTCCTCCCACTGACACCAATGATGGGGCACTGTTCCTCCCACTGACACCAATGATGGGGCACTGTTCCTCCCACTGACACCAATGATGGGGCACTGTTCCTCCCACTGATACCAATGATGGGGCACTATTCCTCCCACTGATACCAATCATGGGGTACTATTCCTCCCACTGACACCAATGATGGGGCACTATTCCTCCCACTGACACCAATGATGGGGCACTGTTCCTCCCACTGATACCAATGATGGGGCACTGTTCCTCCCACTGATACCAATGATGGGGCACTGTTCCTCCCACTGATACCAATGATGGGGCACTGTTCCTCCCACTGATACCAATGATGGGGCACTATTCCTCCCACTGACACCAATGATGGGGCACTATTCCTCCCACTGACACCAATGATGGGGCACTATTCCTCCCACTGACACCAATGATGGGGCACTATTCCTCCCACTGACACCAATGATGGGGCACTATTCCTCCCACTGACACCAATGATGGGGCACTATTCCTCCCACTGACACCAATGATGGGGCACTATTCCTCCCACTGACACCAATGAAGGGGCACTATTCCTCCTACTGACACCAATGATGGGGCACTATTCCTCCCACTGATACCAATGATGGGGCACTATTCCTCCCACTAATACCAATGATGGGACACTATTCCTCCCACTGATACCAATGATGGGGCACTATTCCTCCCACTAATACCAATGATGGGACACTATTCATCCCACTGATACCAATGATGGGACACTATTCCTCCCACTGATACCAATGATGGGGCACTGTTCCTCCCACTGACACCAATGATGGGGCACTATTCATCCCACTGATACCAATGATGGGGCACTATTCATCCCACTGACACCAATTATAAGGTATTATTCCTCTCACTGGCACCAATTATAAGGTATTATTCCTCTCACTGACACCAATGATGAGGCACTATTCCCCCCACTGACACCAATGATGAGGCACTATTGCTCCCACTGACACCAATGATGGGCCACTATTCCTCCCACTGACACCAATGATGGGGCACTATTCCTCCCACTGACACCAATTATAAGGCACTATTCCTCTCACTGACACCAATGATGAGGCACTATTCCCCCCACTGACACCAATGATGAGGCACTATTCCTCCCACTGATACCACTGATGAGCCACTATTCCTCTCACTGACACCAATTATAAGGCATTACTCCTCCCACTGACACCAATGATGAGGCTCTATTCTCACCGACAATAATGAGGCTGTTCCTCTCACTGACACCAAGGAAAGGGCACAATTTATCCCAATGACACCAATGATGGGGCACTATAACTCACTGACACTAAATATAAAGCACTATTCCTCCCACTGACCACAGAAGCTATGTCATGTTTTTTTTTTTACTGCCACTTGCCACCAAGATTGAAGCTGAAAATGTGAAGCTGATGGGATTAGAAGCAGTGAAGTACATAGCAATGCCACAATAAATAATACCCCCATGCTAATTATTTTATCTGCTCAATTGACTACAAACAGGCTTCACAGCAGAGATTTTTTTCTTTCTTCTCCCTTTGCTGAAAACCTGTCCCACCCCCCCCCCCCCCCCACCCCTTCCCTCCTTCTGCCCTCCCCCTCCTTCTGCCCCTAGTGCCTGAAATATGTTACTTTGAGTGATCAGGTGCAAGTGATGGTACTGAGGAAATGAATGCAAATGGCTTGTTTAATAAAGCAGCATACAGGATACCAGGATAAATTCATGGAGGTATATCCCAGAGAGTTATCTCCAGCATGCCGTGTGAAACATTGCTGCAGGTACATCTTTGTTACAGTTGCAATGTCCTCATTGGCTGACATCGCTGCACTTCCACTCTCAGACTTAGTTAATAGTGACTGTGCATTCTAGCTGTGGCTATATATAGAATAGTATATATAGTATATAGAGTCATATGCCTGGCTGCATGGTATGGAGAAAGCGGATATAGTGTACTGACAGCCCACAAACTACAAACATCACAATACACAACTACTAGGGGGACTCCGAACAGCAACTAATGCAGGCCATAGATTTTTCAGCCGAAAATAAAATCGGCCGATTTTCGGATCATTAGTGGGCTAATTGTTCGGCTGTTTTTTGGTATTTTGGCAGATTTTTTTTATCGGTAAAGTTGGAAAAAGATCGGCCGAAGAAGAAGTAGAAGGATGAAGTAGAAGAAGAGGAAGTAGAAGATGAAGAAGAAGAAGAAGAGGATGAAGAAGAGGATGAAAAAGAAGAGGAAGATGAAGAAGAGGATGAAGAAGAGGATGAAGAAGATGAAGAACAGGATGAAGAAGAAGAGGAAGAAGAAGATGAGGAAGCAGAAGAAGAGGATGAAGAAGAAGAAGAGGATGAAGAAGAGGATGAAGAAGAGGAAGATGAAGGAGAAGAAGAAGAGGATGAAGAAGAAGATGAAGAAGAGGATGAAGAAGAAGAAGAGGATGAAGAAGAGGATGAAGAAGATGAAGAAGAGGATGAAGAAGAGGATGAAGAAGAAGAAGAGGATGAAGAAGAAAGAAAGAAGAGGAAGAAGAAGAGGATGAAGAAGAAGAAGAATTCCAGTCCGGCAAAAAGTGTCCCTGCAGAGAGCTCCGCTATCTGTTTGACAGTTCCTTGACAGCTATAGCGGTTGCAACAATGTATCTATTTGTATCCGAATAAAACCATCTGTATCCGAAATGGATACAAATAGATACATTGTTGCAACCGCTATAAATGTCAAGGAACTGTCAAAGAAATAGCGGAGCTCTCTGCAGGGACACTTTTTGCCGGCTGTAGATGGGATGAAAATCGGTCGATTTTTTTTTACCGTTCCTGGTAACGTCAGCTGCTTGAACGACCGATTTTTTCATTTTTTTAAAGAAAAATCGGCCGGTTTTCTCCCCATCTATGGCCTGCATACGATCGGTGACATGTGCCATATTATTATCTTCTATGTATCTCCCCAGGTATCGAGTTTGAACAAATCAAAAGTTTCTCATCATCAGATTCTATGATCCCGGTGTTTCCTATGATGAGATGGCTAAAGGATTGGCTCTTCTTTATTTGTCTTTACAAGTCTGATGAATACATTCCTGACAT